CAGCCATGACGACAAGGACCACGTCCATGGCACGATCATACGCCGGGCCGATTCGGAGGAAGAAGACGACGAAGAGCATGGTGGTGGCCAGGAGCCATTCTTTCAGTGCCTTGATCAGGAGCAACAACCCCCCAACACGCTACACGCTGCATTTGCACGACGCCAGGGTCGAATTTCCCTCCGACGACGACGGTGACGGTGACGACGTCCGCTTCTCCTTCGCCACCGCTGATGGTGACCACCTCCTCGAGAAGCAGGCGGAGCTGGACCTGGACGTGGAGGACGAGGAAGAGGACACGTCCAGGTATGACTACGGCACGTGGATGGCGCCGGAGACCGTGTCTGTAGAAAGAGAATTAGAGAGCCAACAACGCTTTCCATTGATCTCTGATGTATAAATACATGTTACAACAATGGCTGCTGAATGGGCAACCGCACTGCGTGCTAGTGTACATCGTGGGCACGGGGGCGCGTGCTGGGGCGCGTGGTCACCGCGCTCTGGACTTGGTCAGCCACGGCGGTTAGCATGTCCGGTCTTGGCGCTGTCCCTCAACACCCCCCGCAGTCTGATGGGTGATCGGCATCACACAAAGACCGGAGCGGAAGCTTTCGAACGGCGCCGTCGGCAGACCTTTCGTCATGACGTCGGCGAACTGTTCACCTGTTGGAATGTGGAGGACGCACAGTTCGCCCAGTTGAACTCGTTCTCGGACAAAATGAATGTCGAGCTCAATGTGCTTGGTGTGCTTGTGGTGAACGGGATTCGAGGACATGTATACTGCGGATACGTTGTCGCAGAACACAACCGTCGCCTTGTTGATGCCACAATGGAGTTCGCCGAGCAGCTGTCATAACTAAATGCATTCCGCGGCTGCGTTCGCCACCGCCCGATACTCGGCTTCCGCGCTTGATCTTGACACGGTGGGCTGCCGCTTGGATGACCATGAGACGAGGGAGTCACCGAGATAGACGCAGAATCCCGACGTTGATCACCGAGTGTCTGGGCAGCCCACCTAGTCCGCGTCTGAGTACGCGGTGACGCTGAGGTCGAAGGAGGCGCGAAGCTGGAGACCGTGCGACGTCGTGCTGCGGACGTACCGCAGTATATGCTTGAGTAGCGCCATGTGCGGTGCGCGGGGATCATACATGTGGAGGCAGGCTTGCTGGACGGCGAAGGCTATGTCAGGCCACGTCATCGTTAAGAACTGGAGCGCGCCTGCCAAACTGCGGTATGACGTCGCGTCGTCTGTTGGTGGTCCGTCGGCGGCGAGCTTGTTCTTGGCTTCGATTGGTGTTGAGGCAGGTTTGCAGTTCGTCATCCCGGCGCAATCAAGGATGTCTTCTGCGTACCTCTCTTGGGAGAGGTAGAACCTGTCCTTGGTGCGCTTGACGTCGATCCTGAGGAAGAAGCGCAGCGCCCCCATGTCCTTGACGGCGAATTCGGCACGGAGGCAGTCGACAACGTGCTGGAGCAAGGCCGAGCTGGACCCAGTGAGCACAATGTCATCGACGTAGAGTATGAGATATGCGATGTCCGTGCCGCGACGAAGGACGAAAAGGGACGAGTCAGATCGAGTTGCTTTGAATCCGATCTTGGTGACAAACCCGGCGAACCGAGTGAACCATGCCCGCGGTGCCTGACGGAGTCCATATAAGGACTTGTCGAGCAGACTGATAGCGTCAGGACGATCAACATCGACGAAGCCCGTGGGCTGCTGACAGAGAACATGCTCATTGAGATGACCATGGAGGAATGCATTAGAGACATCGAGTTGCTTCGTTGGCAACTAGTTAGATGCTGCGATGGCGAGGACAGTACGAATAGTGGCTGGCTTGACGACAGGCGAGAAGGTTTCACTGAAATCAATCCCTCCTCGTTGGGTGAATCCGCGAACCACCCACCGCGCCTTGTAACACTCTGGGGAGCCGTCAGGATTGAGCTTATGACGGAACACCCATTTGCCACTGACAACATTGGCACCCGGTGGACGATCAACAAGGCGCCAAGTTCTGTTGCGCTGGAGCGCATCAAACTCAAGCTCCATGGCTGCCCTCCAGTTAGGATCTTTGAGAGCAGTCTGAGCTGTAGCAGGAAGTGCAGATATCACAGGCGCGACGGATGAGTCGCCGGCGTGCAAAGCATACCGTGGGTTGGGTTTGAAGATGCCTGCCTTGGAACAAGTCTGCATTTGGTGACCGTGGGGCGACGCCGTGGGTACGACGTCGAGAATAGGACTGGTGGACAGTGATGGAGTGGGGATTGAAGCACCGGAGGATGGTGCAGAATGAGTGGGTGTGGCACCAGATGTAGCAGGCGATATTGAAGCAGGAGGAGGAGGTGGTGGGTGAGGTGCGCTCTGCTGAAGAATGACAGGCTCGTCAGTTACTGTAGTTGGTCCGGCTAGTGTCGTCTGACGACGCTGAGATGCAGAACGAAAGGGGAACTGGGTTTCATCAAAAACAACATGGCGAGATGTGATGACGTGGCGTGTTTGTAGCTCAAGACATCGGTACCCACGGTGATCAGCCGGGTAACCGAGAAGAACACAAGGCGTGGATCGAGCGTGGAGCTTATGCGGTGCTGTTGAAGCCTGATTGGGATAGCACAGGCACCCGAAAACCCTGAGATGAATGTAGGATGGTGGGGCGCCGAGAAGAAGCTAAAATGGAGTCGTCTGACCAGTGGCCCGACAGGGACGACGATTCAGAAGATGGGTTGCCGTGGACAGTGCCTCCACCCAATACGCATCAGGCAAGCCAGCATGAATGAGAAGACTACGAACGCAGTCATTCAGTGTTCGAATGATGCGCTCAGCTTTGCCATTTTGAGATGAAGTGTAAGGACAAGATAGGTGCAAGGTGGCACCATGGTGTTCAAGATGACGCCGAAAGGCTAAATTATCGAACTCTTTCCCATTGTCGATTTGGAATGCAATGACAGTGGCTCAAATCGAGTATGAACATAAGCATGAAATGCAATGAGGCACTGAAAAACATCAGACTTGTTGCGTAATGGAAAAGTCCAGAGATAGTGTGTAAGATCATCAATCAACACAAGGTAGTACTTGAAGCCAGAGAAACTAGACACTGGAGAGGTCCAAACATCAGCATGAACAATCTGAAATGGGACATAGCTAACTAAACTAGAGTCTGAAAAAGGTAAACGCACATGCTTGCCAAGCTGACAGGCTTCACAAGTGGATGGCTTGGTGGAGATGAACTCAAGACGAGGAAGAGTCTGCTGCAGCGTGTGCCTTCCGGGGTGGCCTAAACGCTGATGCCAGAGCTCGACAGTGGGCGTGGATGTGGCGGTCAGGGCCTCCGGCGTAGATGAGGCCAGAGGGTATAGCTCGCCGTCGCTATTACAGCGGAGGATCACCGAACGAGTGGGAAGATCATTGACAGAGAAACCGAAAGCATCAAACTCCATAGAGACATTATTGTCATGAGTTAAGGAACGAACTGAAATCAGATTCTTAACAAGTGATGGAGAGACAAGAACATTAGGGAGGGAAAGTGGGGATCGAGCAGTGGGGATATGTGTGGAAGCACGATGAGTCACCGGCAGCGTGGCGCCATTGCCGACGACGAAGGGGAATTGTAAACTGGGTGGGAAGAGGTGAGATTACCAGGGTTGGAAGACATGTGGGAAGAAGCGCCGGTGTCCATGAACCATTCGGCCGGTTGGGGAGCAGCTGCTGTGGAATTTGTCGCGTTTAGTGTGGCGAGCAAGGCCTGATGGTTACACGGATCCATGGAGGGTGGTGGCGGGGTGACGCCAGATCCGGTGAAGTAAGCCTGATGTGGTGATGTGCCGGGGCGCGGGCCGAGCACACCAGCTCCTGGGGCACGGAATGGCATGGGCCATGCCTGCACCATGCCAGTCCACGGATTGAATCCGGGCGTCCAGGCCGTTGGCGGCCTTGGGGAGGAGAAACCGCCTGGAGATGATCCGCGGCCACGACCACGCCTATTGTCGAAGCGGTTTGACGCACCATGAGCAATAGATGGTGGCTTGGCGACGGTTGTCGGCGCAGTGGAGCCGGAGTTGCCAGCTGGAGTAGAGCTTGATCCGCCTTCGGTGGCGGTGGGCGCGGCAGGACGCGGTCCACCAGTGGCGAGTAGAGCGTGCTATGCCGTCGTCTTGGCATGCTCCTTGTCGTAGCGCTCTTCCATAAGAAGGTAGGAGCGCATCGAGAGGAAGGTGTGCGGCGGCTGCCTGGCGGTGATGGCGGGGATGGCGTGACGATACTTGGAGCTCAGGCCGCGCAGCATGTTCAGGACTTGGCTCGTCTCCCGCACAGGCTGGCCGACGTCGCGGAGCGCATCCGCGAGCTGCTTGAGTCGTCCGGTGTACTGGGTGATGTCCATAACGCCCTGGACCATGTTCCGGAACTCCGTCTCCAGATAGACAGCGCGATGGAGCTCGTTGTCGCGGAATTGATCGTGGATGGTGCCCCAGACGCGGTACGCGGTCGCCTTCGGATGGCGCACGATGTCGCGCACGTCCTTAGCGATGGAGTTGTACAGCCAACTCAAGATGCACTGATCAACCACACGCCAGTCGGGATCATGGCGCTGGTCGGCGGTTGGCGGAGATGAGACGTGGGAGGTGAGGCCGAACTTGCCGAGGAAGGCGTCGAAGAAGCACCGCCATTCGTCGTAGTTCGACGTGGCGAGCTCGAGAACAACGGGAATGTGAGATTTGATGTTGAGGGTTTGAAGGACTGCGGTGGGAGGCGTGGTGGCAGGGGGATCGTCGCCGACAGAGGAGGTGAAGGAGACTTCGGAGGTGTCGTCGGAGTCGGAAGAGCCGAGACCGAAGAGGGGATTGTTCGTTCGTGGTTGGCATGGCGACAGCCGCGGAGAGGAAGAAGAGAGGAAGAAGATGGCGATGCAGCGAGGGATCAACCCGAGCTTGCTGATACCATGTAGAAAGAGAATTAGAGAGCCAACAACGTTTTCCATGGATCTCTGATGTATAAATACATGTTACAACAATGGCTGCTGAATGGGCAACCGCACTGCGCGCTAGTGTACATCGTGGGCGCGGGGGCGCGTGCTGGGGCGCGTGGTCACCGCGCTCTGGACTTGGTCAGCGACGGCGGTTAGCATGTCCGGTCTTGGCGCTGTCCCTCAACAGTGTCCATCCAGGAACGCCGCCGCCGGCTTGGATAGGGCTCACCAGCAGCAAGGACCTCCTCCGGAGCTGGAACGCGAGGGCGAGGCTTCCGCCTGACATCCCCCGCCATGTGCCCCGGCGACAACAGCAGCCGCCCGCGGCCGTTGCCGACGCGCCGAGCACGACGAGCGCCGCGCCGACGGTGGCCACGGCACTTCCCGAGATCGCGGAACACCAGCGCAACGCGGTCCTGACCCGGTCTCGCTCCGACAGCCGCCTCGTCGTCCGCGGAGGCGCCGCGAGGAAGCCGTCGTCGTTCCGCGGCGTGTGCTCGCTGCCGCACAAGCTGCAAGGCTCGCCGGTCCACAAGGCTCTCCGCGCGGCTGCCCGGTGTCCGTTACCATCAGCGCCGTCAAAGGACGGAGGAACTGGCGATGCCATTGCCGGCGACACGGGCGGTGGTGGCTTCAAGCACCCGAAGAACGGCAGGGAAATCGTGGCGAACGGCCAGTTGAACGAAGCCCAGCGCAGTGCGCCGCTGAACATAGACGAGCTCCAGCGGTTCATCGCCCACACGCCGTTCGTGTCGCAGCCCGTGCGCCGCAGCCAGAGCCAGCCGGTGCTGGCGGCCGGGGCGGGCAAGGGCGACGAGAAACCGGTCGAGAAGAGGAGAACACGGTGGCTGAGGAACATCAAGCTAGTCGCGTCTGCGGCCGGGCTCAGAACCGACAAGGAGAAGCAGGACAGCGATGGCGGCGGCGGCGGGAGCCGACGGCACGGACGCCTTCGGTGACCATGTCGAAGTCGGCGTCGGCCCACACCGCCGTGTCGTCAGCCTCCACGGGGCCCGAGCGGTTCAAGGTGCACCACTACGGCAAGTCCAGCCGGGAGCTGACCGGGCTGTACATGCGGCAGGAGGTGCACGCGCACGAGGGCTCGATATGGAGCATCAAGTTCAGCCCCGACGGCCGGTTCCTCGCCAGCGGCGGCGAGGACAGCGTGGTGCGCGTCTGGGAGGTCTTGAACGTGGACGCCTCCTCGTCCGCCGTGGCGCAGGAGCTCTCCACCTCCCTTCCTCCGCAGACACCGGCTGCATCCACGGACGGCGGCAGGTCAGCGGCGTCGCCCGGGCTGGCGGCGCAGTTGTCCGGGAAGGTGAGGAGGGGGAGGAGCAGCAAGGACGTGCTCCCGGAGCACGTCGTCGTGCCGGAGTCCGTGTTCGCGCTCGCCGAGCAGCCGTCGTGCGCCTTGGAGGGCCACCAAGACGACGTGCTCGACCTGTCGTGGTCCAAGTCCCAGGTTTGCATGCCGTTCCACTCAGCTTACCATTGTCGCCGCTGATTGCTGCTTCTCCGTAAGCAGAGGGCGTAAGCGTGACGTGCCGTGAGCGCCATTGTTGGTTGCAGCAGCTGCTGTCGTCGTCCGTGGACCACACGGTGCGGCTCTGGGACGTTGTCACCAAGACGTGCCTGAGGGTGTTCCCGCACAGTGACTACGGTGAGTTCGATAGCCTGCACTTAGTCTGCAGGTTGCCTTTGCATAGCGACTGATCTTGATTGTGCGCGCCATGAACGCCGCAGTTACCTGCGTGCAGTTCAACCCGGTGGACGATGGCTACTTCATCAGCGGCTCGCTTGACTGCAAGGTGCGCATCTGGAGCGTGCCGGACCGGCAGGTCGTCGACTGGAGCGACCTCAACGACATGGTCACCGCGGCGTGCTACACCCCAGACGGGCAGGTACGTTGCCTATGTATGCATCACACACACTCGTTATTGCATTGCACCAAACTACAAAGCAAATTCCAAAATGTTCATGTCACTGATATATAGCTGATAGTTTTCACCTTTTCAAGGCTGCGATTATTGGGTCGCACAAGGGGAGCTGCCGATTCTACAAGACAACAGGTTCGTGCAGAATTCTGATTCATTCAGTCTTGCATTGTGCTGAACTTCTGACAAGCAATTGGTTTGCATGTCAGATTGCAAGCTTAACCCGGAGGCACAAATCGACATGAGCATAACAAAGAAACGCAGGTCGCAGGCCAAGAAGATCACAGGATTCCATGTATGTCCATTACAGTTACAGTTATGTCAGACTCTTTGTCTGATATCAATCCAGTGAGCATTCCATGAGCTCATCTGTAGTTCCATTATCCAAAAGAAAAGTTGCATTGGTTGTGTAGTTTGCGCCGGGGAACCCGTCAGAAATCTTGGTGACAACGGCGGACTCGCAGATCCGGGTGTTCAACGGCATCAGCGTCCTCCAGAAATTCAAAGGTACGCAGCCATGGCGGCGAGCGCACGCCCCAGCCTTCCCTTGCACGCATCAAGGACGCCATGCACGAACTCCGCAACCCAAAAAGGGAACCCGTCTTTCTTCCTGCCAGGCTTCAAGAACACCAGCAGCCAGATCTCGGCGTCCTACACCGCCGACGGCCGCTACGTGGTGTGCGCCAGCGAGGACTCCAACGTCTACGTGTGGCGCCGTGTCCCGGGCAGCGTCAGCGGCGTCGGCGGCGGCGGCACGGGCGGCAGCGGCAGCATCAGCGTCAGGGCCAAGACGTGGCTGACCAGCCGGTCCTACGAGTACTTCTTCTGCAGGGACGTGTCCGTCGCCGTGCCGTGGCCCGGGTCGCCGTCGTCCTTCCCGCCGTGCGACGCGTCCCGGGGTGGCAACGGCAACGGCAAGAGCGACACGCCCAGGAAGCAGCAGAGCTCGTCCCGCCGCGACGACGTCGTGGGCGGCGCCGGCGGCGGCGTACCGCGGGTGACCAAGTCCGGGCCGATGACGTACCACGGCTGCGGGCAGCTGCACCCGGAGCTGTCTCGCCGCGAGTCGCAGTCCTCCGCGCGGTGGCACGGCGGCGCGGAGGGCGGCAACGCGTGGGGGATGGTGTTGGTGACCGCGAGCCGTGGCGGCGAGATCCGGGTGTACCAGAACTTCGGCCTGCCTTTGGCCAATCTCTTCCACTAATGGTGATTGCGGGTCCCGATTTTGAAGGGAATGAATATTCAGCAGGATAGCCACAGTTTGCTGGGCTTGGATTTGAAATTGGATGAATTTTGCAGCAAGGATAACCTTTCTTCTTCAAGAGGAGATGAACTGATGTACAGGCTGATATACAAGAAGATTTTTTAGAAAAGATATACAAGAAGAATAGAAGTGGAGTACAAATGTGATGCACTATTAACCAATGTATGATGAGCAGATGCAAAGAGCTTTGTGTAAATCTAGTTGGGGTTCCCCTTTGCTATGAAAATAGGTTGTGCTTATGATCAACAAGGAAGAGGCATAACAAAACAGATTTGCTAGATATAACCTTTTTTTTGGAATAATATGCTAGATATAACTTATAAGATGACTTAGATTTTGCAAGTCACCAAAAGTTTGAGATAAATTAGCACAACTACGAGAAAAAAAAATGATCCGTGTTATATCCATGGCTATTATCTGAGAAACCGCACATACCGCAAAAGTCTATATAAGCGATCTCCTATTATTTTAAGTATAGATTTTTCTTCTTCCTCTCCAACATATTACTAATATATTTAAAGTCTATATAAGCGGATTTCCTACATTTTGAGGGAGAGGGATGGGAATGCGTCCTCCTTTAGGCTTTGTTTGGATGCGCATGTATTCATCTAAATCCACATGTGTTGAAGTAGATTGGAATGAAATTAAACTAAGTTCCAATATTCCAATCCACTCTAAGACATGTGGATTGAAGTGGATACACATACATCCAAACAAGGCCTTATAGATTTAGTTTTTGTAGTACTTGTTTCATCTAGGGTTTGGTTTCTAGTGTCAGGTGAGGCGGTGGCGGCTATGGCCTTTTGAAATAAGGTCTCTCCCTGCCTCGACAACGTCCAATCTAACACCGATGAAGGGCCGGAGAGAGTACATTTTGTTTGATCTGTTGTGAAAGCCCTAGTTTGATTTTGGTAATTGAGTGCCAACCATGTGGACTAATGCTTTCATTGAGTATGATTGGCTAGAGTCCACTTGATGGTGATGAACAAGGCATAGGAGGTGATGGAGATGGAGATCATGATCACATACATGCAAAAGGTTCATCAAATGGTGAGAAGATGGAGCAAAAGCAAGCCACATGCAAAGGTATATGATAGGGCTTTGATTTTGCCAGCCAAGGTGCAATAAAGTGCACGGTTGGATTTAGGATAGATGGCCGTACTATAAACACGAGAAATCTTGAATTGCAATGGTCATCTAGTGGCACTAAGTGTGAGCTTCATCTGCATATGCATTGCTCTTAGTGAAGTGGTGAGGTGCATGAGAAAACACTGGGAAACTGTTTGTGAAAAGCTAACTCAAGTGCTAAAATTGTTTTGGTATATGCTTGGAAGAGTTAGCACTTAAAAAGAAAAGAAAAAGGAGAAGATAGAAGTGCTTCAGGGGCCTTGGAGGCCTTGCTGCTGTCTGGCCCGGAAACTCCGGCTGATTGGGCCAATTTCCAGACGTCCAGCCTTTTGGCGCACGGGCCTGCGGCCCAAATTTCCCAACTCGCGGGTAATTTTCCGAACATCCTCTTTTTGTTGCTGGCGCGGTTCTGCTGTGGCTCTGCGGGCCGTGCGCCTGGGCCCTCGGGCGCGAGTGTGGGCCGACAGGCCGGCCCGACCGTGCGCATGGGGGATCCCCACTCCGGAAAAACCGTGCGCTTGCGCGAGTGTGAGCTCTTGACCTTTGGCCAACTCCAACCTGCCAAAAGGCCACTTACATCCTATCAAAAAAAAAAAAAAAAAGGCCACGTATATGGCGGATCGGTCGACCTACACCTTGAGCCAGTTGATGCACGTCTCGTGCTCCAGCAAGAAGTGCCCCATGGATTTCTGAAGCTGCTGGTCGGTGATCGGACAGGATGTTTCAGTCCCATGCAAATAGTTGCAGACGACACATTGGCGAGGCTTTTGAATTTGTTAGTCCCTTTGATCACCTCGAACACGGCCGGGTTCCCTACTGGCGCGACCATCTTGTTCTTGTCCATGCATGGCATTGGCATCAACGATGTTTGCATCTGCGACATCCCAGGGGCGAGCTGCAACGTCTCATCCATGTATATCGGCCACATTTGTATGCTATGGATATGTCAAGATTCAAATTTTTTTGAATGACCAACACATGCATTTTGAATTGATTTCTATGTTTTCACCGGCTAGCAGGTGGTTTCCACTACATAGTTTGCCAATTATATAAGCTTATTTACAAAACAGAATTCAAGGCCTAATAAACAGAAGAAGGAAGAAATTACCTAGAAGACAAGGGCATAGGCTGATCACTTAGGGTAAGGGTGGACGAGGTATAGCCATCCATGGGTTTCGGTATATGGATATCATGTTGTCAGTTTGCTTGGATAAATGGGGCGCGTGTCATTTTTCTGTTATTGGTTGGATGGATGAGAGTGAATGAGATGATAATAGTTGACTGATTATGTCTATTATTTAAAAATAATAACAACTAACTATACACTAAAAAAATATACACTGACACTAATTTTTTCATTATAATAATTAATTAAAAATAAATATGTTAATTAGCACTACTACTAACCTAATAGTCACACAATATGTGCTCTAATTAATATAATAGCACTTATCAAAACTAACTTTATTATTAGAATTACTAATAAATAATATAACATACTAATAATCCTTAATTTATTTGCTAATGACAGCCATAAGAAACACATGGATAAGCTTATGCGCCAGTTTTTTGGTGGCCACTATATCCAGTATCTAGTAAAAATATTCCCTGTCGTGGATATCCATATCCAGCGAAACCACCAAACCAAACACCACATATCCATGGATGGCCATATCTCATCTGGGGATATCCACCCTACCAAACATGTACACCCTTATTCATTTGAGGCCTGGGATCCCATTGGGTAGCCATGGTCTGATGGGTTGGTGGCGTACTTGTCAATAGTGAGGCATCTATAGTGATTTCATGCATAGAGTCTTTTCTAGACATTAATAACTCAATATGTGTAGGATGTGCATGCATGTATATTTTTATGGACACGATTTTGGATATCGGTACTATCTGCGTATCTACTCGTAGTATGTTTTGAAAAAAAAGACGTCCACCATAAATGTTAGCATATCTTGGCCCCTACATATGCATATCCATATTTCTTATAGGGGCTGCTGCGTTTGTACTTTTGTTTTGTGTCGAAACTGTGATTTTGCCCCTATTTTTTTGACTTTGTGAATTTACCCCTACTGTGCCATTCACGAAGCACCAGTTTGCCCCTGCTCCGTCATCCACACCTAACGGTGTTAAACTTTGTACAAAAGGACATAAATGCCCATGCGATTTTGCCCCTCGTTTATTATGCCTAATTGCGATTTTGCCCCTGTCTGGCCGAGGCAGGTGGGCGCTCTGTTGCTGCTGCTCTTGTGCACCGATCGGTGAACCATGCGCTCTCTGTCTTTAGCCTATGTGAGCTGAGTCTATGGACAGGGGAAGAGGAAGACAGAGCCACTGACGCGCGGGGTCCACAGGGTGAGGTGGCGCGCCCTGGTTGGCCCTGGCGACGATGCTGAGAGCTGGGCATTGGGTGCTGTCGGCGAGGCGCATCTGCTCCTTTTCCTTCTGAGTGGTCTACGGAAGAGATCAGACAGAGCAAGAGAGAGGGAGAGAAAGAGAGAGAAGCAAGGCGGTGGGAGACTAGAGGGCGGCGTTAAGACCGGGGAGCACCAGCGACTGCCCCGGCGACCTGCGGCCATCCTCTTCCAAAAGAGGCAGCAAGGGGAGGGGAAGAGCAGAGCGCTCAGCGCGGAATGGAGAGAAGAGAGAGAAGCAGGGAAGCAGAAGGGCAAGAGGGATGGGGGAAGCAGAGCAGCGCAACCTCGGATCCGGCCAACAGAGGTGAGCGCGGTGGCGCTCGGCCTTGGGCGGAGCTGCAGGGCAGGGCAGTGGCGGCGGACGACCTCGGCTTCATCGCGAGGTGCTCGGCAGCGACTCCGACATCGTCGACCGTCCGGCCATGGCGCGGCCACCGGAGATGCGGTGCTGGGGCAGGCACCGGAGCCGCAGCGGCCCGCTGGCCTCTGAGATTTGGAAGGACGAGGACCGGATGAGAGCCACCGCCTGCCACCATACGCCGGCCACCGCACGTCCGCGCCCGAGCGACCGAGCCACGGCTGCTTTCGAGCGCCGCACGCCCGAAGCCCCCGCACCGCGCGTCACGTGCCAAGCCCCGTGCGTCGCGCGCCCCCACACTGTGTGCTGCCGCCGGATGCCCCCGACGCCCCGGTCGATGCAGCCGGCGCGTGAGAAAGGCACATTTTCCTTATGGAGGCTGAATATAAGGATAAGGGGCAATTTGGTCTTTTTGCCTTTCTTTTTTCAAATTTTAAATTTTTTTAATTCATTTATTCTATGACCATCTGACGGCATCCAAATCAGGGGCAAACGGATGATTTAATTTAAAATAGCAAGGGCAAAATCACAAAATTAAGAAAACAAAGGTAAAATCACAATCGAACTCCTGTATAAGGGCAATAACACCATTTTCCCTTTCTTATATCACATATGGAGGATCGCAGTCATTAAACTGTTTGGAAACCTTGGATCCTCCCCTTCCCTATAAATTCGAGCACGTATGCTAGAACTGCCGACAGAACATCAAGTTTAGAGCGCTCATATAGCACTAATCTAAGATGCGTGGGGAAGATAATAGCATAGTTGTCCTCCTGTTTGCCGTTGTTTCTCCCAACCAAGTGATTGGTAGTACTTGTACGCCGGAACAGAAGGCTGCCATCCTAAAGGAATGCGAAGAGTACATCAAGCCTGGATATCCCCTTATACTGCCATCGTACGTCAGTGTCTGTTGCCACAAGGTGAGAGATGTGCCGAATAGGGACATGAACTGCATCGCTGATCTACTGACTCCTGCAGAGAAGGCAACTCATGGTGTAGACAAGATCAAACATCTGAAAGATCTATGT